CTAGGGAGAATAGTTTAGATAAAGTTATTTATTTATTTCACTGTGTATTTTGACAGGGAAGTATCATGGATGACTTCTGTGTGGTTGCATGCTGTGGACCCTGTGCAATGTGTCAAATGGCAAGAGAACTCAATATTCACGGAATCTAACCATCAAACATAAACAACAAACTTTTTATATCTTTTAATAAAACTTTCTGTAATGGAATATTAAGTATTATTTAGAATCTAAAATTGTAATTGTTGATTAGATAATTTGTTGTGCCTATATCAAATGGTAAAACCAATAAACAAATGTATGTATAATTTAGTGTGGTTATGTTACCAGGAAGTTTCATTGTAGTGGTAGTATGTTGCACTGATAAAAATCTTTATTTACAGTTTAAAAAACGTAAAATATAAATCAAGCTTTCGGACTAAGCGTCCATCGTCAGGATTAAAATGGCAAAAATGATCAGTCGCTTAAATACTATTTACATGTCAATGACCTAACTAAAATACTAGGTTTTTTGAATAATTAGACTAAAAGACAAAAGAGTCATAATAGAGTCATATAAGCGTAATATAGAGTCAACAAAAGAGCCATAATAAGACACTGGATAAAAGAGTCATAATAGCGTATTATAGCGTCAACAAAGCATTATTTAGTCTTTATCAATTAGCGTTCTAAAAACTTCCGGCAATGTTCTGCCATTGTCTCTATTGGCAATGGCACTCTTCTCATTTTCCATAATCCAGGCTTCCTTCCATTTTCTATGCGACCACCGACTTTCCTTACATACTACCTTGGTATCATCCCACACAATGCGATGATCATTGTCAACTACATGTTCTGCCAAAGCTGAGTTTTCCACCTTCCCATTCTTTACACTTGCATGATGTTCTTTTATTCTTGTTCCTAATGCACGACCCGTTTCACCAATATATTTAACATCACAATCCTGGCAAGGGATGGAGTAAACGACGCCTGTTTGATCTAAGTGAGGTAACTTATCTTTGGGCTTCATTAAATAATTTCTAAGCGTTGAAACCGGTCTTATTGCAACATTAATATTATGTCTCTCTAATACTCTCTTTATTTTCTCTGTAGTTCCTTGAACAAAAGGAAGTACTGCCATACCTCTCGCCATTTCCGTTTCTACTGCCTCATTATTATCCATATCAGCTTCTTTCTGTTTCATCTTTCTCCTGACCTTCAATAAAAAATCTTTGGGATAACCATTATTCTGTAAAGATTCAAAAACATGTTTCTCCTCTTTTCTTCGACTCGCTTCATCTGAACTAACTTTGTCTGCTCTGTAGTACAACGACTTGGCAACGGACGTTTTATGTTGGAGAGGATGATGTGACGAGAAGTTCAGGTATCGGTCCGAATGTGTTGCCTTTCTATAAACCGACGTCTTAATGGACCCATCTGACTCAACAACATTTAACGTATCCAGAAATGGTATACCCCTGTCCTCATAATGTTCGATGGTAAACTGTATATGAGGATTTTGCGAGTTTAAGTGTTTATGGAAATCATTAATACTAGACTTCTTTACCGCCGAAAGTGTATCATCAACAAACCTATAATACATCCTTGGACGTTGTGGGAAGGTATCTAATGCTTTAGTCTCCAGGTGTTCCATTACTAGATTTGCCACCACGACTGACACTGGCGAACCCATCGCAATTCCGTGAATTTGTTTGTAAAAATTTCCCCGGAATTGAAACTCCGTCGAATTCAAACAAAAAGCCAATAGTTCAATAATATCTTGAGGCATAAGCGATGTCCTTTCCCTTAGAGTAGGGTCGTTCTCCAATCTATTCAAAGCAACATCTAACGCAAGGTCGGTAGGAATCGAGGTAAATAGAGATATAACATCAAATGAAATAAGCTCCTCATCATTGTTCAATTTCCATTGTTTAGCTTTATTTACCCACTCGTACGTATTGCGGATATGATATTCAGTCTTACCAACCAAGGGTGAAAGAATCAGCGATAAATACTTAGATAATTGGTATGTCGTGGATCCGGAAAAACTGACTATCGGTCTCAAAGGGTTATTATTCTTATGGATCTTAGGCAACCTGTATATCCTCGGTGTTGGGCCGTCAGTTGTCTTCAACTTCTTAAGTAATTTATCATCCATTCTCTCCGCTTTTGATGAGAGAAGCTTTTTCATCTCTTTTTCACCTACATTCCTTGGGTCTTTCTTGAGCTTCTTGTACGTCTGTTGGTCATTTAGCATGTTCAATATCTTCTCGTCATACTCCGTCCGGTCCATTACTACAGTTCTATTGCCTTTATCAGCCTTCAGAATGATAATACTCTCATCTGCTTGCAAACCCTTTAAAGTTTGTCGTTCTACCTTAGACATATTATCCTTCGGAAGCCTCGCTCTTTTTAGACTGTTGGTCGTTTCCATTCTTATTTCCGCTTTGCTTAGATCATCCAAATTCCAAATAGCATTTTCAATTTCAGCTATCATATCCATAGTGGGTATTTTTCTAGGTGTTGGGGCAAACTTCAAATCCTTACACAGAAGAGAAACCTCATCTGTAGTGAATGACTTAGGGACCGGTCATTATTTATGGCGGGGGGTGGCACCGAAGAGAAAAGGGTTGGGTAAACTAAATTTTGAGTAAGTAAAAGGTTGGGTAAATGAAAAACAAAACAACTCAAGGGTTGGGTAATAAAAAATTATTGTCATTTCCAAAGCATGACTCACTGAAGTATTGGGGACTAAAAAGCAATGGCAACAGTAGGCCCTACTCTGGGGCGATAACGAGATAATGTGAGTTTAAGCAATTTTAGGTGATTTAAGCAAAATCTGCAATTTAAGCAATGCGAGTTTGAGCGATATAGGGCAATGTAAGAAAACAATTAAAATTTTAGGGAATGCTGTTTTAGGTGTTTAGAGGTAATTTCAGGAATATACAAACTATATCCCTGATGACTCCAATGAAATTACCATTAACCTATGCCAAGCATCCAAACATGAGTGTTCCCACATACACACACACATACAGTGTATGAAGCAAAATATTATATACAATTTAACAAAAAAAGTTGAAGTCTGCTTGAGGGGGTTCTGGAAACAAACAATACACTGTATGCGCATGACGATCAAGTGTTTAAAGGGTAAATAAGCTCAATATTCATGACTTTTTCCATCCATTGTCTATTTCGAAGCCATTGGGGGCATTATTAAATTCATGACACAACTATAATACATGACCACTGTTCACATCATATGCAATTGCAAACAATTTTCAAAGGAGTAGGGTACAGAATTGCAATATAACAACATATAAGTAAATTATACAAGTCATGAACTTACCAGTTTGTGTTGAGTTAAATTTAAACATTTTTATGACATCAAATATTATTTATTTATTTGCAAATCAAAACATTTTAAAATTCTCGTGTTTTGTTTTGTATTGCGCCCGCGCTATATTAATGGTATTAACCGCTGTGAATATGATATACATTTTTAATACATTACATTTGCGCTCAAAAGTTCAGGAAGCGAGTTTCTAGAAAGGATGAAAACTCCGTTTTATATATGGTATGTAAAAGGTAATCGTTGTTTACTGTTTATTTTGTATTCAGGTATGGGGAATTTAAGCGATGAGAGTTGCAAAACTTGCAAATGTAGTCTGACTAGTTTCTTTGACGTCATCATGCAACTATTTAATATTGTGCCACATTCATTATTCAATTTATTCACAGCAATTAGCCTTCTATAAGCCATACAAACGATTATAGCTTATAGCCCACCTTGCCTTTAACATTGATCCTATATATAATGAATTAACATAGCTAACTTGATTATGTTGCTAGTCAAGTATGGGACCTATGGGTCTTCTAGATCCTAGAGTAGCACAATTAATATAAATTCTCCGTAAGGCGGTAATATTAATTAAGACTGTTCTTATTTATGCATGACCTTTGACTATTAAGTGGCCAAAAATTGTGCCTACAGTAATCAACTTATTCCACTATCCAGGTTGCATCACTTTTGATTGCAAAACACCCAGGTTTATTATACATGGATTTGCTAGCAAAATAGCAGCAATTGATGAACTTGGTGTTGTTGTGTAAAGAAACAACGAAAAGTATATATCAATCAATCAATAGTATATATCAATCGATCTCCAAAGAAAGTAGCTACATGTGCGGACAACATGAAACTTCAGACTGCAGAAAATTTCACAATCCGTTTTCAAAATTTATGTCACAGAAGTGGTATTTAAAAGGACATATGTGACAACTGAATGGTACCTTTTGTAAATTTTTTGGCCAGGGGTGGGTATTTATTTTTTAATTGATATTTGAGGTTGGGTAATCAATTTTTTTACTTTTTAATGGTTGGGTCAACAAAATTTTTGCTACGAAAAACATTTCTCTTCGGTGCCACCCCCCGCCATAAATAATGACCGGTCCCTTAGTAGAAAGGTTTACAAGCCATTTCGATTCCCGATTTACATATCTCGCTTCGTTGCTTTTTACCTTCTGCCAATTTTTAAGTTTAGTTTGATGCTTCTCGATTGTTGTTGCCTTCAGATCTCCCAAATAGCCAACGAGTTCTCTTTGAAATCTACGCCATAATCGCTCTCCACACGTATTCCTGATTGTATTCTCAAGTGGCATAAGGTCCCTCTCAAACTTGCGAATGCGCTGATGGTTTTCTGTAATTCGCAACCTCAACATATTCTGACCATATTGTCGCGCTAAAGCATGACCTTTTACCGTATTTACTGCAGGCTTTACTCGTAATGATGGCGGAAGAACGTTCAAATCTTTACAGCGATGGTTGAAGTGTAGATGGCATCTTTGCTTAACTAAATTTGCATTAACAGTAAACAGTTTTCGAGCGGACTGAAATAACACTTTTCCATAATCTTTATATATATAATTTAGTGTGGTTATGTTACCAGGAAGTTTCATTGTAGTGGTAGTATGTTGCACTGATAAAAATCTTTATTTACAGTTTAAAAAACGTAAAATATAAATCAAGCTTTCGGACTAAGCGTCCATCGTCAGGATTAAAATGGCAAAAATGATCAGTCGCTTAAATACTATTTACATGTCAATGACCTAACTAAAATACTAGGTTTTTTGAATAATTAGACTAAAAGACAAAAGAGTCATAATAGAGTCATATAAGCGTAATATAGAGTCAACAAAAGAGCCATAATAAGACACTGGATAAAAGAGTCATAATAGCGTATTATAGCGTCAACAAAGCATTATTTAGTCTTTATCAATTAAATGATGAGGAGCTTATTTCATTTGATGTTATATCTCTATTTACCTCGATTCCTACCGACCTTGCGTTAGATGTTGCTTTGAATAGATTGGAGAACGACCCTACTCTAAGGGAAAGGACATCGCTTATGCCTCAAGATATTATTGAACTATTGGCTTTTTGTTTGAATTCGACGGAGTTTCAATTCCGGGGAAATTTTTACAAACAAATTCACGGAATTGCGATGGGTTCGCCAGTGTCAGTCGTGGTGGCAAATCTAGTAATGGAACACCTGGAGACTAAAGCATTAGATACCTTCCCACAACGTCCAAGGATGTATTATAGGTTTGTTGATGATACACTTTCGGCGGTAAAGAAGTCTAGTATTAATGATTTCCATAAACACTTAAACTCGCAAAATCCTCATATACAGTTTACCATCGAACATTATGAGGACAGGGGTATACCATTTCTGGATACGTTAAATGTTGTTGAGTCAGATGGGTCCATTAAGACGTCGGTTTATAGAAAGGCAACACATTCGGACCGATACCTGAACTTCTCGTCACATCATCCTCTCCAACATAAAACATCCGTTGCCAAGTCGTTGTACTACAGAGCAGACAAAGTTAGTTCAGACGAAGCGAGTCGAAGAAAAGAGGAGAAACATGTTTTTGAATCTTTACAGAATAATGGTTATCCCAAAGATTTTTTATTGAAGGTCAGGAGAAAGATGAAACAGAAAGAAGCTGATATGGATAATAATGAGGCAGTAGAAACGGAAATGGCGAGAGGTATGGCAGTACTTCCTTTTGTTCAAGGAACTACAGAGAAAATAAAGAGAGTATTAGAGAGACATAATATTAATGTTGCAATAAGACCGGTTTCAACGCTTAGAAATTATTTAATGAAGCCCAAAGATAAGTTACCTCACTTAGATCAAACAGGCGTCGTTTACTCCATCCCTTGCCAGGATTGTGATGTTAAATATATTGGTGAAACGGGTCGTGCATTAGGAACAAGAATAAAGAACATCATGCAAGTGTAAAGAATGGGAAGGTGGAAAACTCAGCTTTGGCAGAACATGTAGTTGACAATGATCATCGCATTGTGTGGGATGATACGGTCCAAGGTCGTATGTAAGGAAAGTCGGTGGTCGCATAGAAAATGGAAGGAAGCCTGGATTATGGAAAATGAGAAGAGTGCCATTGCCAATAGAGACAATGGCAGAACATTGCCGGAAGTTTTTAGAACGCTAATTGATAAAGACTAAATAATGCTTTGTTGACGCTATAATACGCTATTATGACTCTTTTATCCAGTGTCTTATTATGGCTCTTTTGTTGACTCTATATTACGCTTATATGACTCTATTATGACTCTTTTGTCTTTTAGTCTAATTATTCAAAAAACCTAGTATTTTAGTTAGGTCATTGACATGTAAATAGTATTTAAGCGACTGATCATTTTTGCCATTTTAATCCTGACGATGGACGCTTAGTCCGAAAGCTTGATTTATATTTTACGTTTTTTAAACTGTAAATAAAGATTTTTATCAGTGCAACATACTACCACTACAAATGTATGTATGTCCGAATTTAATTTGTGAGAACAAATAAACAACTTTTCAGAAGCTTTGCAGAACACTGTTTTGAAACATTTGTGTAATGTTCTAAAACTATTAGAAGCTTTATAAAATAGAATGCTTGTTTGTTACATTGTAGCATGAGACGTTTGTGACATTTTGACTTTTCAACATTTTCAGACAGCCATTTTGTTGATTCTCCCCATAATGGCTTTTCAGACAGCCATTCCCGGTTGATTCTCCCCAATTTTGTGCAGAGGGCAGAGATGTTGGCCATCAATTCTACACAACATAAAAACGCACAAGTTGTAACAAACCTGCAGCAGACTTGTAGCAATTCTGTTCCAACAACTTGTCAACAGGATGTGTTCGCACTGCTTGTTACCGGCTTGTTGACAACTTGTTACAAAGTTGTTAAGTTCAATAGACTTGTTACAAGTTGTTGATATCGTCCTGCAATTCAACAATTTGTCAACAAAATGTGAGTGACCAATTTGTAGCAACTTGATAAAATAACAGCATTTTTAATACAACTTGTTGACAAGCTTGATACAAGCCTGTTGCGAACATGGCGTAACTCCTTGGGGGGGGGGGGGCGATTTTTGAAAAGAAATAATTGTAGTAAAAAGTTTGATAAATTAACGAAAATATTACTGAAAAGTTGTACAAATTTCAGTAAGTTAATGAAAAATGGTATGTCCGAATATAATACAACCCCCCCCCCTGCCAACAATTTTGGGAAAAGAAATATTAATTAGCACCTGAAATGTTCGTTGGGCACGACTTCCGCCACGCCCTTTTGGTCAGGCAAAACAAGCTCACCCCTACCCAAGTTACGGCCCTGGTTGCAAACACATGTTGTTGACAAGTTGTGAGATTTTTACGTGTGTAGAGTACCTCGAGGTACGAATATGATCCCCTCGAATACACACGTAAAAACGCACAAGTTGTTACAGGTCTGCAAACAAGTTGTCACAAATCTGTTCACAAGCTAGCTGTTAGCTGTCGACACGTTGTGTTTGCACTACTTGTCCCTAGTTGCTTGTGTGATGTTACTATGAGTCTATGAGTGTATATCCACGACCTTTGGAATTCGTAGGTTCGAATCCCACCGTGGCCAGGCATATTTTCCAAGCCTGCCCGGTGTGAATATACACTCAGAGTAACATCACACAAGCATCTTATTCACCTGAGTACATTACACCAACACAGCAAATTTCATGATTGTCCCTAGTTGTTGCCAAAAAAGTTACTCTTTTTTGTGAATACCATTGGTTCATGGTTCGTATCAAGACGCACAAAAAGACAGAAATGAAATATTTAACTACATGTATAATAACACCAAAGAATCATAGGCTGTGTAATGTTTTAACCGACAGATCGAATGAATTCAACACCCGCACGCGATATTAAAAATGTATTAGTACTGTGAATTTCGCAGTTCGGTTCTGGGAATTCCTAATTCGCTGCATGACGTTGCACAGTCCACGCCAACAGTGCTCAGGCATAGTTTCACCGCAAATTAAGGAGGTCATCACAACACTTGCACGAAGTGGACAGAACCATTACCAAGTCAAAGTTGAATTTACAGAAGAAAGTTTCTCCTATTCACTGAGGTGAGTTAAAACTTTGGTATGGTTGGTCAATACCAACTGTCTAGTTTTCCCTTCATACAAAATCCGCATTGCCCCTTTAATTGGCCGATTTTATAGACTGTGAAAATCAAGCACGTCACTCATCTACGACAAGGTAAGCTTGACTTTACACAGTACAAATAAAGTTGAAAACAGGTTGCATGTAACAGGGCCTTGTACCAATCAGCTGTTCCCGAAATTGTATCTATACTAGTCTGCAACACTTCCTCCCACTATCTGTCCTTTTTCTCAAGAACAATTAACCAGTGGAAGTGAGACTCTGTAGAGCAGTACTCCTTCAAACATTTTTACAAATTGTAACACAGCTGACAATTTCACTGCTGTCTCATTCTAGTAACGTTTAGTATGTTATTGCGACCCTCCGCCGATCTTGGGGATCGCGGGGGGGGCTCTGTTTGTATGTTTGGTCGTCAATAAACGCATATTTTGCAAGGGAAATTTTCTTTGGAGATTGTGCCTACGTGGCGATTGGGCATTCTGGCACTCCCCATCTCCGGTTTCGACTTGGGCCGCTTTTGGTCTTGATAGTTTTCTTTTATTTAACTGTTCATTATCTTGACTTAAATAGTTTATTATTATTCAACTTTTTTTTTGGATTAGCAACATATGTATATTCTGCTAACCCCCAACAAATAATCGTCATGCTGAAGTGGAAGTCGGTCTTGTGCATGATAAATTTGATCCTGTAGAATGGGTCAATGCGCTGTTGCGCTCCTAAGTTGCAATATTGGAAGAAATGTATAATATGGTCTTAACAAGAAATCTTGACAGGCTTTTTTTACCGCATGAGGGCCTCTACAAAGCCCAAATACCAAACTTTAGATAATACGCTATGCTAACACCTAACATATCATTTGCATATCTACCTCTTGCTTGTAATAAATAGTCTGTTTATATTTTATCTAGTTATACATCTAAACAATTTCTTTCATCTAGACCTAGCTTTTGTTGAAACAGTTCTTTCGAACATATTATTATATGAACACGTTGAATTTGTACTTCAGTGGCCAAGAATTCCACTGAAGTCATACATGACATGTCACAATTAAAATCACAGCTTGAACTGCTACTCGCATTGTGTATAAATTGCGTATGTCGACTTCTCGAGCCATATTTTGACATAATTAAAGATAAGTCTGAAACATTTGAAGTTGATCACGTGTACGTATTTTCGAACTTGCGAATAAAAAAATAACTCCAGATCACTGATATCTAGATATATCAGCGTATAAATCATGTAAACCATGAAATAAACCAATAAAACTCATCTTTATATAGTATTCAGCATTCTTTTATATACGTGCATCCTAAATAGTTTTCTTTATATAAAGAATACTAATGAAACGGCATCTATTGTAGTCGTGTTTGAAGTATTCAAAACACTTGTAGTCGTGTTTTATCATATCTATTAAACTCATTTTCATAGGCCTACTTAAATGATAAATTAGTGAAGCGCTCAGGCATTCGAACTAGGTCAACAAGACAATCTGACGACATTAATAGACAACTTGCATGTTAGACAAATTTTTTATCTAGCCGATCTAGGCACAACAAAAGTAACTTCCCGTTAAGAACTTATTAAAATTAGTAAAAGTGCAAAATTTGGTTGCAAAATGTTGTAAAGCTTGGAAAATATAGCCTTGCAAAG